TTTTGAGTGAAAGTGGTGATTTGTCTCTTGAAAGAGTTTGTTCTATGAGATGGGAAAAACTTCTTTAAAAATTGTTGTTGAATTTCATCCCAAACACGAATGGATCCTGGTCTTAAATTTTGTAGCCATGTTTTAGCTTTATCTTTTAATGAAAAAGGGAAAAGCTTTAATCTGATGGTGTTCATGCTACAATTTAAATTATTATATGTGTTGCATGTTCATGCTACAATTTAAATTATTATATGTGTTGCACACCTCCTCAAATTCCCTTAAATGCAAGTATGGATTTTCCAATTCTAAGCCATGAAAAGAAGGTAAAAGTTGAATAATACCTAGTTTAAAATTAAAATGAGATGCATCAGGAGGAAAAACTATGCATGATGGTGCACTTGTTCTTGTGGGATTTATGTGGTCTCTAAGTGTTCTAGCACGGTTATTCTCATTATTTTCATTATGAAGTGATTGATTATCTTCTTCGGCCATATTTTCTGAAAATGATGAGGATACCCTACAAAGTCTACCACTTGATGTACGTAACCACACTCTCATGCACGTGTAGGAATAAAATAAAAAAGAAGAAAAAAGAAAAAGAAGGAGGAGGAAAACAAAATAAAAAAGAAACAAAAGAAAAGAAACAAAGTTATATACAAGAAAGGTGAAAAGAGAAAATAAAATAAATACTATAATTTATATAAGAACTTACCTCCCCGGCAACGGCCCCAAAAACTTGACACGACGAAAAGATTGATGTCTTCTCCCAAGTGCAGGAGTGTCGAAGTAATAAATAACCCGGCAAGACCGGGGTCGAACCACAGGGAGGTTAATTGTACAAATTATAAACAACAATTATAAACAACAACAATAATAATAGAAGCAATAATAATACTAATAATAGTAGTAGTAGTAGTAGTAATAGTAATAGTAATAATAATAATAATAATAACAATAATAATAATAACAATAATAATAATAACAACAATAATAATAATAATAAAGAAAAAGAAAGAGAAGAAGAAGAAGAAGAAGAAGATGAGAACTTTGAGATGGAATATTAATGTAACGATTAAACAATGATAATAACAAATGTCAAGGTTAGAGGTTCCACTAATGGTATATCAAACAAGTATAGTATAAACTCTTATTATTGAATTGGAAACCACACACAAAGGAGGTTCCAATCAGATTATATATTGTTAACATGATTATATTAGTCATCTTATTCCATTAATGTTAATACTTGTAAATCTCGTCAAGCATTCATGATTATAACTTATGTTAACAACAAATCAAGTTCCTTTCATAGCTCAGATGTCGGTTATACCATACATTATGGGCTATGAAAGTGCCAAGCATTTGTTGTACCAAGTGTTATACAACATAAATCAAGATTAGTCATTTAACAAGCAAAGTATTAAAGAGTGAACAAGATAACAAATATAAAACATGTTAGTATCAAACATTAAAGTCCATATTAAGTTTACATTATACTTATTCTTACACCATTAGTGTAACCTTTTCACCTTGACATAACTAACTTAGCTAGACATAATGAAAGAAAGCAAAATAGATAAACAAAATAAGAACATAAAAGTTAACTAAGTAAAAGAAAGGAAATGAAAGGCATAAACTTAATATTAATGAAAGCAAAACATAAACATTATAAAAAATACAAAGAGAGAAAGGAAGAGCATGATCTTGATCTGGAAACCAAGATGCCTAAATGCATGGAAAATGCCTCCTTTTATAGGCCAAAATTGGGAACTATTGATTTGATGACTAATTGATAAGTGGGTGGCCAACTTTTGACTTGGTGACAATCCTTATCTTCTTTTGTCTGCCCAAAACGTCATTGATAACGTCAAAACTGGAGCCAGTTGCAAACATGAAAGTTGTAGGCAATTGTCTCAGCTTTTTTGTGTAAACAATTCAGCTCATTTGGACTTCTAGAACTCCAGATATGGCCAAAATACCGAACAGTGCTCGGCTGGAAGACAGATTCGGGCTTCTTTGTTGTTGCTACAATTTGGACTTGATAATGGCCTTTTTAGATCTTGGGCTCCATATGAAAGTTGTAGACCTATGCCTTACCTTTCCATCCATATAAATTGGATCTAAATCTGAGATCTGTAGCTCCAAATATGACCCAATTACCGAACAGTGTTCCGGTTTGGATTGCACCGACATCTCTTCTCTAAGTTTGACCATCTCTTTATCCATGCAATTTAAGTTCTTCAAGTCATCAATCAATCCTTTCATTTATGTGATAGGCCTGCATTAAAAATAGACATTTACCACAAATTATAAATAGACATTTACCATCTGCATTAAAAATAGACATTTACCACAAATTATAGGTATCTTATATTATTAGATACATTATTATAAAACATGCTTTGGTTAAGGAGTTATTGATACTTCAAGTGCAAAATGATGATACTAATCACACCCTCCCAATCAGCTTATTACTAGTCTCTAGTAATCAAAGCATTAAAATAGAAAAATAATTTGCAAAATTCACAAAGCTAGGTATTCATCATTCAACTTCCATTAATCTATCCAGATAAACAAACTCTCATTAAATTTATATATCTGCTCAATACTACTTAACAAGATATTAATAAACCTTTCTTTTATGCTCAATATATCAACACATAGTTATAGGTCTTTACTTGGAAGAAAATAAAATTTTTGTTCTAATGTTTAAGGTTAAGTTCCTCTAGTTGGGATTTTTTTCTTTTTTTCTTGTTTTTTTTTAAATATATATACATGTAACTTAAAACACAATGCATCTTTAGCCCATGTAACGAGCTTTCAACTAATGACTCCCAAACCAATTGGTCTTAGGGCATTAGGTGTTAAGACACCTTTACGAGCTTAGTAACTCGGGTTGCAGATACTAATACATAGATAGTGCAATGTTTAATTCCCTTAAGTTTTTCGCCTCAACCCATGTAACAAGTGCTGGGTCAATAGCTCCCAAGTCAGTTGACTTTAGGGTATTAGGTGTTAAAACACCCCTTTGGGCTTAATTGCTTAGGTTAGGGAGGTTACGAAACCAAACTTATCTACATTTTCATTATCATCATTTTTTTTCTCTTTTTTTTCAAATTATATACTATCCTTTTCCCTTTCTCTTAGTTGTTACCTTTAACAAAAGAACATATATAATATGATAATCCAATGTACTACCCACAATCAGATGTTAAAGTGTGTGTGAAAATTAAGTTTTAAGAATACATGTTAAATGAGTATATGAGCAGAATTAAGTGATAACAATGCGAAAGTTTGTAAATCTGAATATTTCAAGAAGTATTATGATAGACCTTATTAAGAATGGTTATTAAGATGCGTCTCAAGAGTCACTTTAACAAAAGAGCTCATTTACTCTATCATCCTAATAACAATAGTTTTGCATATGCTTTATGAAATGGAAAACAATTTTTTTTATCAACTACTACCCTCCCCCCAACCAAAATGAGACATTGTCCTCAATGTCCTAAAGTAGAAATATAGAGTACATAAGACATCACCTGAAATAACGAACATTTACAAACCTGAAACACACTTAAACAAAAATAAGAAATAATAAAACAAAAAGACACAAAAATTCATAAATGAAGACTTAAATCCAATTTAAGCTTTTTACGGTTTTCCTTAGATGACCAATTTATGCGACTCATGGAGGGATCAATTACAAGAATAAAAGATTGTAGTTGGTCACTCAATTGTTTAGTAGTAGCAGCAGAGATTATGATTTGTCTTGTAGAAGATGTTAAAAATTCATGTTCCACAGCATGATCAAGAAAAGAGAATAACTTATTATAATAACCATTAACATTTAACGGATCTATGGGTTTATGGTGAATATGCAGTTGGGCCCAAGAGGACAGATTCAGACTTCTTTGTTGTTGCTATAATTTGGACTTGAAAATGGCATTTTTAAATCTTGGGCTCCATATGCAAGTTATAGGCCTATGTCTTACCTTTTCATCCATATAAAGTAGACTTAAATTCGAGATCTATAGCTCTAGATATAACCCAATTACCGAACAGAGTTCCGATTTGGACTGTACCGGCATCTCTTTTCCAAGTGTGGCCATCTCTTTGTCCTTTCAATTTAAGTTCTCTCATCAATCAATCCTTTCATTTATGTGATAGGTCTGTATTTAAAATGAATATTTATCACAAATTAAAGGTATTTTATATTATCAGATATGTTATTATATAACATGATTTAGTTAAGGAGTTATTGATACTTTAAGTGCAAAATAATGATATAAAACCTTGATAAAAATGCACTTTTAAGTACTAATTAACATGACATATAGTTTTTCTATTAATGATATATTATATTCAACAATGGAAGTATTGACAAAATGGAGTAAATTTTTTTTAAGCGATTTATTTGTTAATAAATCCATCTATAAAATTATTACCGACAATCCACAGATCACCAACAAGAGTTTTTTCAACAAATTATTTCAATTTATAATCAAACTTGCCGACAGACTGAGAATATAAATATCAACAGAAAATTTTGTTGGTAAATCTAAAAATTCTAGTAATGAACTCAAAATTAGAGCTAGCACTCTAGGCTTAGGATATTCTTCTCTCTTAAATAGGGATTTAGAAGATTTTTTATTGATAGTTCTTGTGGATTATCTTTAGAGATCGAACAATTAAATGATTTTTGATTTGCGATAACCTAGCTTTGAAGCATATATTCAAAGCATAAAAAAAATTTAGATTTTTAGATAATTTTTATATAAACCCTAAATAACTTTAAATCTATATAATGAAATCATTGGAACCCCAATTAATTTTTAAATTTATTGTTTTCTTTGCATATATGAATCTCAGGAACCAACATTTCTGGTCGTCCCTGACCATGTTAAAGGTCAATTTTTGAACCCATATATAGTAGAGAAGGGCATTTCATGACTGTAGTTTGTTACCGACACAGCGCTTACAAATGCTAAATAACTACAGGCTTGCTATAATTTCACACCCTACACAAGCTAATTATTACTTTGATTTCTATGAATAATAATCAATTGAGATATGCCACAGGTGCCAATATATCTTATAGGGCGGAGATTTTGCTGTAGTTTCTCGTCAGTGTCTAATCTCATGGCCTCTCTTCAGAATCAAGCAGAAGTGCGAGAGACTCCAGGTCCAAAGTTGCATTGTCTTCAGGACAATGATTGAGTGCCCAGTCCTTGAACTTGAGCTCATCAAATAAGCCCAAGGAATATTCAGAACCCGTGGACAAATTCCGGTTACAACCACTCTTCATTAGTGTATCTCCATCTATATCATTTGGTTGAATTTCATTCCACTTCCCGAAATTGAAGAAATCTGAGCCATCATGCCATGCATGAACCTCTTCAGTTCCGCTATGATCATCCAATAAGCCCAAGGAATATTCAGAACCCCTGGACAAATTCCGGTTACAACCACTCTTCATTAGTGTATCTCCGTCTGTATCATTTGGTTGAATTTCATTGCACTTCCCGAAATTGAAGAAATCTGAGCCATCATGCCATGCATGAACCTCTTCAGTTCCGCAATGAAAATTTGGACCATCTTCTTGATGATTTATCAAGGAAGCTTGAGAGGGGTCGTTCATGGCTGTTGAGGAGAGAATTTCAGGTGGTGGTGGTGGTGGTGGTGGTGTCCGTGTCGGTGGTGGTGACTGTAATAAGAACAAAACCTTGGTCCACCTAGTGGCCTTGGGGCGGATTACTTGGGTTGTCTGTGTTGGCTTTGATGGTTGGGTGCTGGTCGAGGGTTTAATTGCTCTAGCTTTGCTTTCAAATCTTTGTTTGGATTGTGAAGATGATTTGCCTTCAGCTTTTTTCCCCAGAGTTGTGTTCCAATAATTCTTGATTTCATTGTCTGTTCGCCCAGGTAGCCTTCCAGCTATTAGGGACCATCTACTCATTCAAGAATGCTAGTAATAATTACTGGTACTGCTCATAAAAGCATAGGTAAACTGCGTAAAGCACAAACGAGAGAGAGGGGGAGAGAGAGAACCTGTTACCAAGAAGGTTATGGAGCCTGATAATGAGTTCTTCTTCATCATGGGAAATGTTGCCTCTCTTGATGTCTGGTCTGAGATAATTTAACCATCTGAGTCTACAGCTCTTACCACATCTATTCAAACCTACATACACTCACAATATCCATTTCATTCAACATGAAATCTTATATAAAATTAAGCACTCTATTTAAATCCTGTTTGCATTAAATGAGCATCAACGAACTCCACTCGTACATATGCAAAAGCTAAATGTTTCTACGAGTACCTGCCCTCTCGGGGAGGTTTCTCCATTTGCCTTCTCCATGGGCTTTAATATAAGCCATCAGTATTTTGTCTTCCAAGGCAGTCCAGGCTCCCCTGTTGAGTCCGTCCTTGGAGCAGCATGGATTCCTTCCCATTCTTTCCACGAGCACTACACTTACAAGGATAATAATTAGATGAGGTTATGTGGCTTTTATAGGCCAATGCCACACCGAGGTTGGAGACTGAGAGGTTGTCCTGTCTTAGTGATCCTTTAATTTGAAATAAATTTATAATTTTTAATAAAAATCAATGATGTAAATTCTTCCATGAAAGTGTTTGCACTCATAGCAAGTTAATGGATCATTTATTCACGGGATATATCGATATTTTTTCTTTCAAAATGTTAATAAAAACATACTAGTATTGCTAACATGTTTTTAATTAAAAACATTATATAGGGATTGATTTATTGTGATTCAAAAAATATTATAAATAATGAAATAAAAAACATCATTTAACTAAAAAATCTTAAGATGATACATATATTGATATAATAAAATATTGGATAGACTTGAGTTAATATAAGTTAATATGTAAAATCTCAATCCAGGTCATGAGACCGCTACAAAATCATTGAAAGCAAATAAAAAAATAGTAAAGGCTAATTCTCAATCAACTGTTTTTAAAAAAATAAAATTAAAAAAATCAATTAAAAAAATAAAAGAACCCAACTAACTTGTCAAATATAATTCATAAAACCAGATAACTTAATAACAAGTAGATCAAAATAAATTATGTTGTCTAATTCTCAATCAATTGAATGTTGAAAGATAAAATTGAAAAGCAAAATCTATTAAAAAAAGATTTATAAAAAACCCGAGTTAACCTAAATTAATTCACCAAACTCTTGACTTAGGTCATAATATTACGATAAACTCATATAAAAAAAATCATAACAAATTATGAAGTTTAATTCCTAGTCAAACCAAATATTAAATGATAAAATTAAAAAAAAAATCAATTACAAAAAAGAATTTAAAAACCTAAGTCAATTGGGTTAAATTGCAAAACTTATTATTTATGTCATGAGATTAGAATAACCTCATATAATATAAACTGAAATAAATTATGAATCCCAATTCCTAATAAATTTAATATTAAAAGATAAAATTAAAAATTTTAAAAATAAAATTAAAAATAAAACTAAATTTAATATTTAAAAAAAATATTGTTCTAATAAACTACTTAGAAGGGAATTAGTGATTTCCCCTCTTTAATTAATTTTTTTGGTCAGCTAATATACCAACTTGGAATAATGAAAAGTTGTATAATTTGGGTGTAAATGATATTTTACTATATTTAATGATATTTTACTGTATTTAAAATTAAAATATATATATATATATATTATTTTATATATAAAACTAGTTTCGAAATGCTTTAAGTAATATTTAGTATTTTAGTAATGTTTATTTGTTAAAATATTTTTACTATGAAATATATATATATATATATATATATATATTAAAAAAATAGTTTTGATATCAACATATTAAAATGATAAAAAATAAAAAATATTAATTTTAAATAAAAAAATTTAATTTTAAATAAACAGTATTTTAACCATAATGCTAAACTTCGCCTAGTGTTAGCTACTCTTCTTGTTACAATTATTTTCTACTGTACAGTTTCTTATTATACTTAATCTAATGTTTTCCGGATAATTGATTGTTGTATCCTAAAAGATAAGATTTAAGTCTACTAAAGAAATAGAGAGACATAATCTATCTACGAGTCTGCTTATTAATTCTTTTTTATTGACATACACACACACATTTAACAATATTTCATTTTACTTTAATACACTTCAAATGTTTCCAACCGTATGTTAGCTATGGCTTCTTATGTTTTCTTCTTCTTCTTTTTTTGGAATTGCTATGGCAATATTTGATAAAGCTTTTGAACAGGCAAATAAAAGTCCCAAAAAAAATTATTAAATTGTTACCCGAATCTGGTTATCTTAGAAATACTATTGCTCAAATTTTGTGCAGCTTTTATCCTTTCCAAATTACAATTTCTTTCATGTGTGTTAAGAGTGAGATCCAAATGGCTTGAATTGTGCTAGATTTGTTGGCTTGCGTGGCAGGGACTCCTAATGTCCATCGTACACAAGATCAGGATAGAGGTGAGAAACGATTGACCATTGTGACTCTTAAGCCAATAAAGACCTCATTTTTTAGAAAATAAAATTGTTATTCATTAAGAATATCATTTTATGTGTGGACATCCCTATCTTGGATCCTTTATAATTTTATGTGCATCATCTCATTATGGATTTCAAATTGGTCCATCATAAATTTCTAACACAACACCTTTAATGCAAGTTGCCGAATAATGGATCCCACTATAAAAACATTAAATTATAGCAACTAACATAGATGAAAATAATATGTTAGCTCTTGGATATGTTTCTCTTATAGAGAACCTTATTTTTCCTCTAACATAAGGATGTCCTATTTTGCAATCTCTTTCAGACATAGTTGTTTTGTAGCATACAATGAATCAAAATAATCACCAAGGATTGTTAAACCATCTTCCAACCATTGTTATTTAGTAGCATATAACAAATAAAACAACTTTAGATTGCAACATACAACAAGTAATAATCTGGTATCATTGGGTTTTAATACTAATTGATGCAAACGGAAGAGAAAAATAAATGGGTTTGTTACATGTCCAAACCTTCAAAGATCAAAAACATCTTAAGTATATGAAGACTCTCAAAATACTTAATTCGAATGACATGGATTTATAACAATAAGTTTTTGCTTCAATTATAAAAGTTGTTTTCTCCTCATCTTTGGGATGCATGAGGATTTGAATATAACCTGAGTTTGCTTCCAAGGAGCTCAAGAATTCAAAACCTATGATAGCATCTACTAAATGATCAATTTTTAGGATTGGATAACTATTTGTTATGCAAGCTTTGCATAAGTAAGTGAATTCCACACATATCCGCCACTTGTCATCACTTTTCTTGATCATAACCACTTTTTCCAACAAGATAGGGTATACCACTTTCCTAATAAAAACAGCAAGTTTGTCTACTTCTTATGTTATAGCCTTTAGTCTTTCTCATTTAAAGTCCTGCTTTTTCTAGTGAATTGGATGTGCAGCTGCATCTATCTTTGACTGATGAGTAGCTATTTTAGGGCTGATGTTTGGCATGCTTGATGCATCTATTGTAAAATTCAACCTTTGGATTTGCAAAAGCTATATCAATGGCTATTATTGTGCTGGTGTTAAGGTGGATCTTACTTTTGTAATGACTTTTTCATCTCCCCTAGACAAATATACTTCAATTCCTCAACAACTCAATTCTTATCAGTACTCTTTCCTTCAAGGACTATTGGTTGTTTTACATTAGCACTTTATTACCCTTTAAAAAAGTGGTGGTACATTTCCTGGAAGTTACTTGATCCCCTCACAATATGACATGTAACACCTTGTATTTTAATTATGATTTTCATCTTTCTAATTGTTCTTTCTATGAAAACTAGGGGTTTTTTCAATACAACCATAAGAATTTCCTTAACTCAACATCTAACAATTTCATTCATAAATACATTAATACATAATCTTTATTTATACTTTTATGTGAGTACATCACTTTTCAATTTATTTACATGAAATTTATTTACAAACATTCACCAGACAATACTAGAACCTATTCAATATAGAAAGGCTAAATAACTCGATAATGTTTCATGTGGAGTTGTGATATCCTAAAGAAAATTCCTGTAAAATATAAAAAATCACGAAACTCCTAATCAGTATTTGCGTCATCACGGTTACCAACAATTATCAATGATACAAATAAAACCAATTTGACTAACTTCTTTTTGGTAGATACATTAATCTATGCTAGATTCAAATTTAATACATCCTTGTAAATCATTGGTGAACTTTTATTTCATTATAGTACTCATTTAACAATCACAGTTATATTATAGTAACTCTTGTTCAAAATATATTTGACTCATACTCTGATTCACTTTCTTAAATACACTTAATTCGTATGATTTTATATATACCTCACAACAATTTCTGGTTCACACTATTTTTTCAATCCCTAATATATTTAATTTATGACACTTATTGTACAAATATATTTATACCCTTTCAACCTCTTAAGTATTCAGTTTGTTCCAACCAATACTCATGTTATTTTAACTTATTATATACCATTTTAGCTCCCACTTGTGATTCATTTCATATACACAATCATGTTTTTTTAACATATATTTTATCATTATAGCTTTTTGTGTGACTATTTACCTAGTTCAATCTCGATAATTCATATTTATCATCATTATGGTTCATCATTTCATTACCTTTTCACATAGACCATGCTATTATCTTCCACACTATTTTTGACTTTTTTTTTCAAAAAGATTTAAGCCTTGGACTTTACCTCGATTTATTACTTTCAAATGAAAACTTTCTCAATTTAATGAATTTTTAGCAGTGTCTCTCTTAAAATTAAATGATCTCATATATCGACATCAACAATCCACAAACATTCCAAACAAATCCATAGTCTTATTACCATCATGGACCTTAAATATTACATTAGTAATATGAATAAAATTCAGTGATAGAATAAAAAATACATAAATACATAATTTTATTTCATTAATCCCTAGTTATCACTTAAACACAAATACATAATTTTATTTTATCAGTCAGCTATTTAATTTTATCTAATAACCCATTAATAACCTCGCAAGATAGTTGTATTAATGCCAATAGCTCTATTCCAAGCAACTTAGTCAATCAAGTATCTTAACAATCAATAACATTGATGTCACTATCTTAACTTCAAATAGCTAGTCAAATTCAATATGCTGGTCATCAACCTTATTGATTCTGCTAACTCTAAATTGGTTGTCTAGTCAAATTCATTATATAAGTAATCTACCTCATTGATACCACTAGCCCTAAGCAGGTTGGCTAGTCAAACTAAATAATCATCATCAACTTTGTTGATGCCATTAATCCTAAACAAGTTTGGTAGTCAAATTAAATATGTCATTCATCAACCTTATTGATTCCACCAACAGTAAATAGACTGGCTAATCAAATTAAATATGTCAGTCATTAACTT